ATCCTTATTTTTAATTCTTTCAAATATGTGTGTTCGCACATCATTAAAAAAAAAAATACTCCAAGCACGATTAACAGCTCTCTAAGAGCCAGCTGAAGCCAAGTACACTCAGTATTTCCAGGTTATATGTGTAGTGACTTCGTGCTTTGTTATCTTCCTGTGCCTGCATTCAGGAAGGGAACATCTAGGGCCCAAAAGCCACTTGTGTCCCATAGTGTGGGGAGGAAAAATCCTCCGGACTGGCTGAAGCGAGCTAGGTTCACTTACATTTTACTTAAAAACCAATCCTAGTCTCAGCACATGTAAAGGGCTCTTGCAATCACTTCCTCCTGAAGTAACTTTTCAGATGTACCCGTACAATGAAATTGCTGGCTAAATAATAAAATATGGGTCTTCCCTGTCTCTTGTTGGATTCACATAACTTCCATTTATGCTAATGGGAGTTAAGCACCTGCTCAGCAAAGAAAATAGGCCCCTCTCTGTGAAAATCAATGTGTACAGTATAGTTTGCAGGTACAATGTTGAAGTCAAGCAACCAAAATGCATGCTATATAAACAAAGCATCATGTGGCCTGCCTGCAAACATTACTGCTGATTTACGTTTTACCTTCTTAGTCAAGGTCGCAAGATACGGGAATACTCAAGCCATTGTGCCTTAAACATAACCCCCAAAAGATGGGGAGGGCAGTATGTGGGGAAGGGAATGGGCGGTGGGTGGGTGTGCAATGGAAGAACTCAATCTGGCGATTTCGGTGAGCTCATGCCCAGCCCGCTGTTTACTTCTTCCAAAGTTCATAATAAATTGCATCAGTAAGTCTGGATTCAAGCCATTGCCCTCTGCCATCATCTTCAAGTCATGGAAGATAATTGTACATAATAGAGGGGGGCAGGATCATGGGGGCACTGTACTGGGACTCCCTGTAGCAGCTGCTGCCTCAGCTGGGACAGGAGATGAGGCAGACGGTTGTTAGGGACTGGTGACACCAGACTCCCTTTCTCCAGCGCCCTTCCCGTTGAGTGCCAGGTCTCACAGGAAGGCGTATTTATGTGGGTTTCAGTGAGGCCATCGTCACTGGCAGCCATCAGGGAACGCGGCACAGTGGGCGCACGGAGAAAGCCTGCCTCACTTCCTGCCAAGAGGAGTCAGCATCCCAGGAATCTAATGATACTGTACTTTCAGTTAAAATGACAATGTGAACCAAACAGGGCTGCAGGGAGGAGAGTGAGAATTTCCAGTATGGTTTCAGCCCGTTTGATGGGCTTCAGAAGCTCATCATTGTGGCCAAAGCAATGCTACCCTCACGCTACATATTAAGTAGTCTTAAGGAATAGGTAATAAGAAGACCGCATTGCATACATGCCATTTAACCAAATTCCTAAAGGTTTCCCCTTCGCTTTAATGAGAGAGGTCAAGGTCAAGGTATTCATTGCTGGTAAGCCTTGGGAGTGGCATGAAGAGCCACACCCTTGTAGACAGGGTCTGCTACATAACGTATGGACTTCGGTGGGAAATCGAGACGCAGGGCCCTGGTGGGGGAAATGGCGAGACGAGGACAGCAGGGCATTAAACCAAGCACAGGTGGGTCTCAGCGAAGGGAGTCAGCCCTCTGAAACCACACGTGCTGGTGGAGCAGGGCCTGGACAAAAGAGAGCCGAGGGCTCGGTCAAATCCACCACGGGAGCACGCGTGTGAAATGTCTCCCCAAAGGCACCAGTTCAAGGTAGCAGAGTCCCGCGGAAAATGGAAGAACAAAGTGTAGGTGGTCTAAAAAGGACCGTTGCAGGATCGGACGGCTCACCTAAAAGGGTTTCGTTTTTCTCTCCTAGAAGGTTCCACCAACAAGGCTTTCCATCGCAAGGCCAGCATGACCCTGGTGAGGGGAACCGTTCTAAGGAGGCCCAGAGGAATGATTTTGAACATAGATGATGGTAGCCGACGCTACAGGCGGGTTGGCCCTCAATGCCACTTTTTCTTTCTCCTTTTAAAATTGCTTCTTGCTCCATCTCACCAGCCACACGCCAGCCTTCGCTGTGACCTCTGAATTCTAAACAGGCCGGCTCTGGGTGAAGGCGAATCTGGCTGGCTCTGCTCTCTGCAGTTTGGGTGACTTGGAAGGCTACAGAATTCCTGCCGGGGGCCGCCCTCCTTTTCTAAGTCCAGCTAGGCTCTGTCAGTTCTAGGCGGCGCAGAGACAATAGTAATTAGAATCATCTCAGCATCTGCCGGAGAAGTGATCCACCAGCTCTCAGAAGTGGGCTTCCGCTAAGCCTCAGCTGCAGGGAAGTCAGCCTTCCCTGGAGCTCATGGCGGCTCCCCAAGCCCTGGTCTCCAAAGGGAGCCAGCAGCGCGCAGAGGTCAGCAAACAGAAACCAGAACTCTCTCCGCCACCGAGATGTAAAACCAAGACATGAGTCAGATACCGAACACAAGTATTGAGGAAGAAAAAACAACAACAGTCATTAAGGAAACATTACTTCGTTAACTTAGTTTGTCTGGGTCACCTACGGGGTTGCAGATGACCAAGCAGTGCATGAGCCTACCGTGATTTGTGGTCACTCAGAAAAGGACTAGGGGATTATAATATTACCTACTCTCAATAAAACAGTATGTCCTCCGCCCGCCAGTGGAGAATTTTTAGGGATAAACAACTCTACAAATTGTTTGGCCAATTATATGTCAGAGAGATTTTTCTATAGCCTGTCTAGACTCCAGACAATAGGCAGACTGGCCTATAGTTGCAGACATTTCTATAGTCTGTAATCACTTAGAGGAGCAAGGGCAATAATACCAAACTGAAAGCCAGCCTGACCCGCCAGTACGGCAGTGGAAATCTGAGTCGAACAACACTTTACAATTTAGAAATGATGATAGCCACTCAGAAAGAAGTTTGAGTAGCCACATGTATGCCAAAGCAATTTCTGAAAAATCATCAATATTCCCCCAATATGAGGCACAGTCCAGCAATTCTGTCCATAGGTTATAAAATTACTGTCTTGCAGAAAGAATTCTGTATATATGTTAGGCTGTTTCTTATTGCACAGAGCTGGTATGTATGCGGGTATGTGTGTGGTGTGCGCATATATCATAATATAACCTTATATTATTTCATAATGATATTTATGGTCTAAATGAAGACTTTTTAAAAGGCCTTTCTTTCTTTCTTTAAGCAAACCAGATTGCTAAACTATTCTTTGATTTTGCACTTTGGGGCTATAACCAAGAGGGATCAAACAGTGCACATAGTCTTAATGAGAGTTAAGGGAGAGCCTGTAGGAGCAAGGGAGGTAGGAAAAAGAGATCTAAAACGTCCTATGTTTTCACTGCTTCATTTCTCAATGGGTCTCCACATCTCCTTCTCTCCTGTAATTGCACTTGTTAGGAGGAAGACAAACAAAGGAAAGAAAGAACGACAGGGAGGGAGGGAGGGAGGGAAGGGGTAAAGGCCACGTTTTGTTGAACTCTTTATAGTCTCCTTCATTCGCTTTTTACTTTTTTTAGAAAATGACACAATCTCGAGTGTTTGCTTTTGTTGTTAGTGCTCGGCGTTATCTTGACGAAGAGCATGACAAACATGCCTTCAATATCAAGAACACCCATGGAAGGAAATATTGCCCTACAACCGGTGACAATGGTTTGACTTGAGGCGCCTCCTCCTTCCCGAGGACACCAAACTCTGTCAATAGTCACCCAGCCCTTTGCATCTTCACCCCTGGGGATCAATAGTAGCACAGTCTTGGTCACTTCTGGCCCACAAGGTCTTGTCAATAACTTCACTAAGTCGTTAGGTTGGAATGACTCAACCTGTGGTTGTAGGGACAGCTAACGAAGCACGTAACGTGTGATACAACCACGAGACCCTTCCACTTGCTCTACTTGGGGCTGGGCATCCCAGAATAGGAAGCTCTCCATCTCTACAGGCATGCCAGCCCTGTCTCTGACTGCCTTCTAAAGAAGAAGACTGAGCTGCGCCAACAAAGAAGCTTTACGACACAGCAGTGCATAATGTGTCATCAAAGTGTCACTGTGGAATAAGCCGCCTCGGACTGCCAAAGTCACAGCGTGCTGAGTGATGGAGCCATAAAGCACCCTCTCAGTGTGACCAGCAAAACCCACGCACTCACAGAGCTCTGCCTACTTCCAGGACATCATGCATACAAATGTGGTGCATTTTCCCCCCGGAATGCAAATGTTAGAGTCATATTACGCCAAACGAGCATTGCACAACACTCTCATTTGGTTTGTGTGCAAGTTCAATGTTTTCTCTGTCTCTAGGAAAAAAATTTTGAACCTCATCAGAAAGGAAGGCTTTTGTCAACACTTTTTCATATAGTAAAAATAAACAGGCTTATGTGTCATTGATGGATAATTTCATATTAAATCAAACCAGTATAAAAATTCAAGTATGTTTATTCTACATAAAAGAAGGGTTTTTGTTTTGTTTTTTCTTTTTCCTTTTGCTATTTGTCATGATATTCAGGCACACTTTCTGTATCCCGTATCAAGACATCCCAGATAGGTCTCCATCTCACATGATAATTTTGGGGTACCGTGAAAATGGTACACAAGTCTGGCTCATCTCAGCCTTCTTGATTGGCCACTACTCTTCAGTTAATGGGAAACCAGATACTTTTAAATTCGGCAAACCGACGAACACTTTGTTGTTTCATATTCGAACAAACACACTTCCCAACTGAGTGCCAGCAAAATACATTTAGCAAACTTTTTGTTCTCATCACACTGATGGGAAGCGTCATGCTTCTCACCGGATAGCTGGGGCTCCACGCGCCCTAAAAAGAACTGGCATCGTTAACTAAAGTGTCCTGCGCTTGGAGACACAGGGCCAAATTAGGCCCTGAGGAAGTCTCCCAGAACTCCCACTGAGTCAATGGAAATTTGCGAACGCACTCAAGGGCACTTCCGGCCCACAAGGTCGGGTCAATAACTTTCCGAAGTCTTTGAAGCAGGTACACACATCCCAGTCACAAAGATCTCCACGTACCTCGCCAACGTCGTAGATCCAGATCCGGCCTTCTGAGTCCCCCACAGCCACGTCCTTGCCGGCTTGAGCCCAGCGCACGTGGTTGAGGGCCGACGCCCCCTCGATGGCCACACTTGCTGTTGGAACCTGCCCAAAGGGAGAGGACACAAAACCAAAACAGGACTCTGAAAATGAACTTTCAGACCCCACTGGACAAGGATCAATTCCCCCGGCGGAGCCCCCCTGCCTCCGTGTGCGTGGGGTCATGCACACCCCGTGTAGGGGTGACCCGGGGCTCTTTGTTGCCAAGTCGTGTGCTCCACTGAACGGAGCGGTAGCGCGGGGGGCCGTCCAGCCCGTCCACGGCCGAGGGGCAGTGCGTGGCACACGTTTCGTCGGATTACACAGAGCATGTGCCTGCACCACAGATCCCGCACACAGAAATGTGACACTTTACGATCAGGTCGAGATTGAGGGGTCGACGGAAAGAGAGGTTTCCGGGTTTGCTAAGACTAAGGATGCTCTACGAGGCAGACAAGGGTGGTGGAGAAGGGATGAAGGCAGTCTTAATATGAACGTTCCGGGGAAAAATCTCCCGTAAACGTGAACTTTCTCCATCTCATCTGGGATGACATGATCGGAGGGAAAGCAAAGCATGCCGGTGAAAAACTGCCGAGCTTCAAATTCTCTCGTTTTGTTTGTTTGCTTGTTTTTTATTCCTTCCCTCTGTGTTTGCTCCCTCCGGTCGTGCCAGGGCGTGGCCGCAAACGCTGGCACCATCGCCGGGCAGCGAGAACCCTGAGCCAACGGAGCTTCTTACTCGTGGAAATGGCCATACCTCTGAAAACAGGGGGCATCCTATTAACGAGAATTAAAGTGAAAACACTCCACGAACCTCAGCATTTAGAAAAAGAATTTTGCTGTTTCTGTTTCATTAACAGCTGTGTAAACGCTTGTCTTTGAGGTTGGGATTTGGTAACTTTACAACCAGCCTTCTCGAAGGATGTTGGGTAGCAAATAACAGGCCGCCCGTCAAAAGGGAAAAGGTAATGGGAAAACAAACAGACACAAATAGTCAGACGAGGGCACCCGAAAGCAGCTCATGCCACTGTTTGAGACCCGTGTCTAATAAACCTCTCAGATTCGGGTGGAAACTCGACATGGACTGTGACTTAGCACCCCGGGCATACTGTTACTCAGGGAATTGAAACCATCTGTTTATATGAGCTTATTGACCCAATACCTGCCTTTAAAACTAGCAATAAAAAACTCCATCATAAGTAAGCATCTATGTTTAAACATAATCTTGAAATCGATAAAAAATCTTTTACCTGCTTAAATCACCGAATGTCACTTGTGCACCAAAATGTAAAACTAATGGTCCCAGCTCACTTATTAAAAAAAGATAAATACACACGTTCTACCATAAAGTTGCCTGCTGTGCGCGCTCAAGCCTGAGTTTTTAACCAAACCTTTTGAAGGTCAAAACAATGTGAATTTAGATGGAGCGTCTGTACACGTTCGGGTTAGTGTGCAGCCCAGAAAACAAATCCTTGATTCAAGTAGGGCGTTTTTGGATTCAATTTTTAACTCCCTAACTTACATGGGCCAGACAGGATCCGTTCTAGCTGCCACCCAATTGTACCGATGAACGGTATTCATTCTCCGATTTTTTTCTCCCAATGGATAACCTCAATACTTGAACAGAAAGGTGTGACTTTAATATAGCACAAAATCAAGTTCATAAAAGAGATGCATTTTAACACATTGAAAATAACATGGTAATTTTTTTTAGCATTTTCTTTATTTCAAATATAAGTAATATGATGGAGCAAAACGGAAAGAATATTTGAATCTTTTAAAAATTATTTTTTTCCTAGCGACATTAAAAAGGTTACTGCAAAAATGACTGACTATCACAGTGCCTTGCTTATAACCTATGCTAAAAAAACCCACATTTTGTGCATGAAGGAAATGACAAAATATATTTACATTAACGTGACCTTTCAAAAATTAATAAATCTATAATGAAATAAGCCATATGTTCTCTTTCTTTCTCTCTCATATTTTGTTTCCCAAGCATTTCCACACGGTTCCTCCCCTATGCCTCCGTCCCCACTTTAGTAGCAGAAGCAGGACACAGAGCATGAGGACCACGCCAAGCACTGAAGTCAGCAATGCAGACACAGGTCACTCAGGCCCAGCCGTGGGCAGCGCTCCGTGAACGTGCAGCACCTTGAACAGCAGTAAAACCCTGCTGCTGCTCAAGCACTGGGAATTCAACCTCTTAAAAAAACCAAAAAACATCTAATTCCTAATCTGACAAATATTTGAAAAATGCTGCTCCACTTGCTAGAGGCAAACATAATTTGAGGGTTAAAAACAAAATGCCCAGTTCATTATTGGAGTGGACTCCGTCCTGTTCTTGAGGACAGAAGGTTACGTGTTTCATTACAGAGCTGAACGGTTTGCTTGCCCCCAGTGATGATTTCGGAGAACGGGGAGCTGCAAAGCGTGTGTGTGCTGGTTTCTTGATACCTACAGAAAGGAGGGCAACTCTGAGGTTGACGGTGTTGAGACATTATTTCATTTTTCCTTAAAACACAGATCCTAAGAAACAAAACAGAAGCCGCTCTCTAGGCGACGTTTAAGGAGTTTGTCCAACACTGACTTCCCCTGTGTGTGTGCTGCTCGGGTATCGTGTAAACATCACTTTTGGGAAGCATGATGCCAGTGGTAGTGGGTTCAGAAGTCACTCTGGAAAAACGTTTTGCCTTCTGGTTGCCTTCAGTAGTGAGTTTTGTTATGCTTTGTTTTTGTTTTTATTCAAGCAAAGAGAAGTAACACAGTTTTAATCAACAGCGACGAAAGGCTGTGGGAAACCATTGCAAGGTAGGACAGCAGAAGAATACTGCTATAGATATTGTGGCATCAAACATAAGAGGCATTCTGCATCCTTGCTCTGTTATGAGGATCGACAGAGATGCTTCACTGCATAATTCTTACCCCTGGCACATTGCTCTTGGGATAAAAAGAGAAGTGAACTTAAAGTGGAAGGAGTTTACAAAGATAACTCTTGGGCAGGGATTATAGGTGTCCGTGCCACTGTAGCACACAAGAGCTCTGCAAAAGTGTCTGAAGGATATTTCCTCTCTCTCTTACACACACACACACACACACACAACTTGGGGCGCCTGCGCCTCCTCATCTCCTCCAGCTGAAGGCTTCCTCATTAAAAAGGCTGAGCTGCTTCCTGCTCCAAACACTTCAAAAGACTTGCTCTTGTTCTCCACTTGACATACAGTCACAGCACCAGTTCCTCTACCTGTGCATGCGTGTGTATGGGAGTGTCCCTGGATCCGAAGCCAAGGAACGATGCAGACACTTTTCTTTAACTAAACAGAAGGACTTTTAATATTAAATAAAAGACTCCCCCCAAGTCGCTTAGAATTTGAACCTCAATAATTTTGGGGAAGGGGAAAAAGTTTTTAAAAAATTACACACAATAAATGTTAAAAATATATCCATGGCATATCTTGTAAAGCAAAAATTTCCCTATTATTTATAGCTTTCAAAAATGTGTATTTTTTACTTGTGAATGACTCTGAATATGCCATTATATATATAATACATATAAATATAATAGCGAGTTTGATATGCATGGTCACAGTTAGAAACTGTTGTAAAAGTCTGACATGGAGTTCACTACCTCTGACAAGGAATATTTACCTTGTAAAAAAATCAAATGGATCATAGATCTAAACATTATTGAAAAATAAAGTCAACAGAATCTTTTATGGATTCAAAATAGAAATCGTGCAAACAGCCAACATGGGCAAACTGGTCCTTTTAAGGAGCCTGCTCTAAAATCGGAGTCTACAAAAGCTTCCTTTTCCAAGTGTTTGCCTATAAAGTTATTTCAATAACACTTTGGGGGAAGAAGAAAAAAAACAAACAACAAAAAAGCAACCACCCCAAACCTCGCCTGTGTCCTTGCCCTTCCCATGGGGAAAGACACGACACACAGCACCATGCTGTTTGCAAAGAAGGGCCATCCACGGTCCAGGATCTGCCAGGGAGGGCATGGAGCTGAAGAAGTGCTTTTTGGCAAAGGCATCTGCCGGTTCCCCTCTGGGCAGAGGGGCGTGGGGGTGGG